GCCTTAGTGGTGTCATAGATATTCCAACAGTCCCTTGTAGACCCAGGAACCTCTCAGGGACATACACCAGCCTTGTTAAAACCTAAGGGTTCACCCAACGATAAGTACAGATATACATACGCGAACCCACAACCTGTATATAGTTACATTGTGTTAAGACACCCCAGGTGTCTTTAAGGGAAACCGCCGTTTAGTTCACCTTCCCCTTTCACAATATCAGTATTCCATTCGCATCAATGTGTAGTACACGAACCATAACCAGGGGAAGCGGTAATCTCCCGACCGGGATCTGTGAAAGGCTCCAACCTCCCGAACGGAACTCCACGAACTGCTGCTAGCCGCCGATATCCACCAAGCGGCTTTCGGTTCCAATCAGCAGTCTCTAAACGCAAAGAAGAAATCCCCCCAATAATGAGACAGAAGCTTCGCATTGAGGGTCAAACAGGATCTGGCTTTACTGTGGGCTACCTGCCCGTATTTATGCAGGTCTCCCACTTGGTGGACACTCCCCTAGGGGACCAAATGGGAGACTGTAATGAAAGACAGACATGGGGACATTCCAGACATACAGTCACAGCTTTTACCCACAATGCACTATGGTTTCCTCCTCTCTGCCCTGGAGATAATTAAGAAGTAATTCAATTATCTCCAGGACAAAGACAATCGCCATCTTAAATATAAAACCAGAAAATACATAACTTTAAAATAACCGAACATTTCCCATTCGCATCACATATCCCCAGATAGCCTGGATCTGAGTGCATATTATTAGCGAATAGCGCTCAGATCCCACACATACAGTTCAATCGCCATGGAGTCAAAGTTCTTACAGTCTTTCGGTATACGAATGACTCCATGGGAAGGCTATCTGGGTTAAGTCCTTTCGTGTGATGTAAACCTCCCGAACGGCCGGTGTTCGTACGCTTTCGTGGAAGCAGCCAGGCGTTCCGTTGTTTCAGCGGTGTTCAGCAGAAAAAGTGTCAGTTTTTAGTTCCTTGAAAATAGAGCTGAACACCGCTGGGCTTTCGCGTGGTTTAAAATGGCCGCTGCCTCGTGGTCGACATATGAACGACGACCACCCTGAATTCGGTTTAATTGAGAAGTGTCTGCGGTTAACCACAAGGTTCTAATTGGGATCAATAGGTTAACCAGCAGCACACTTCTCTCCTGGGTGGCCGTCCGTTCGGTAGATTTGTTCGGGAAAACAGTCATTCGTATGGCTGGGCTATAGGAAACAGCCATGTACACGAATGGGGCAGAAGCAGACAAATCCACCGCAATAAATAGACAGATGGTTCTGTCACACATTGTTACAAATTTCTGTTTATTATATGTTTTATACCATAACTGAAAAACTGCATTGCATGATTGAACAGATTGATTTCTGTATAGTGTGCTGCACGAATTTCTGTACAGTGTATTTTGAAACGGTTAAAAAACCCATACAAACTGACTGCATGCTCCTGGATACAGCAATGCAAGGGGCCTAAACACCCCGGAAAAACGCCATATAGCCCTCACTGACTATCATAGACAAAGAGCAGAGGTGGTATACATACAGGAGACCAACTTCCGCACAGACTGCACCCCCCACCTTAGAAACAAACACTACCCCAAAGGTTACTTTAGCAATTACCTTCAGTCAAAATCTAGAGGGGTAGCAATATTGTTCCCCTTTATGTACACAGCGCACCAAGCAGACGACAGAGGCAGGTTCCTTTTTTGTCAAGGGACTTGTTGGACAAACGATGACTTCATTTGCCAATAGAAAACAACCCCTAACCCTCTGCAAGATCCTTGGCAAGTTGGAGTCGTTCTCAGAGGGCCTTTTGATCCTCGGGTAGACTTCAATGTCTCGCTGGATGGTTCTTTAGATACAACATCCCAAGCTTAATCCTACCAATCCTCGACACAGATCCCTGTCCAAAAACTATTAGACTCGCGCCAACTATTCGCCTGCTGGAGGACATGCCACCCGCCCAAAAGGGACTACTCCTACTACTCCCACCCCACAGGCACATACTCACAAACTGATATGCTTTTCCTACATCTTTCTTGAACCTGATCACGACATGTGTGTACGAACCCATTATTTGGTCAGACCATGCCCCTTTGTCCATGACAATTCAGATACCTTCTTTACACCCCTCCAGAACCCAACTGAAACTACATAATACACTACTGAATAAGGCAGAGGTCCAGGCACAAATCAGATCTGAGCTTGACCAATACTTTGCACGCAATACACAACCAGATTCCCCATACCTGATCATGTGGGAAGCCCATAAATGCTCAATTAGGGGTGCCATTATACAACTGGCATCCACTCATAAAAAGCAGAGGGAACATCAGAGTTCCAAACTCCTCCAGGAGATCAGATCCCTAGAACTTAACCATAAAACTAACCTAAGATTCGCGACCTATAAACA